TAATAATCAAATCAATGTTACTTGAGTTTTGATTTCAAGATTAGTTTCATTCTATAAAATATCACGAACTTCAAATAAAATATAAAGCATCAAATACCGAATATGTCTCAGTATGTCATCAATCATTTAGTGCGCCAATATGAAGCCCAAGTACAGGAATGGTTAGCCTTGCCCCCCCCCCCCCCCCCAAACAGCAGATTCCACAACAAATGGCACGAATGGGGAGTGAGGGGAGTCATCGGTGGGTCAAAGGGTGGGTGGAGGTAGATTGCGTTCCTACGTTGAAGGAGCAATGGCAGCAGGAACCCATGGCGTTGATGGTTTGGTGGTGAAGAACGAGTTGGGGAGTGTGATTTTTGTTAAAGGTTTTTCTTATGTTGGCCTACATGACCCAGAATTAATTGAGTTGTTGGTGTTTAGTGACGCAATCAGTGGTGTTCTTTGACGGGTTTAGCTGATGTTGTGTTCTATGGGGATGCTAACAATGTCATTAATAAAATTATGATAAGGGACACGCAGTGTGACACCCCTCTCCTTCGAAATGGCTTAATACGAATATCTCGTGTATGAAAGGATAAGACATGTTAAACTTTATATGAGTATCCTTATCAATAAGTAAGTGTATGCTAAACTACATTACATATATATATAATTACTTGTTTAGGTGAAAAGTTTCATTCTTCCTTAACTTCAAGGGTTATACGTGTATGAATGCAAGAGTAGAGGATGGATTAGATGGAGGTCGAAGGTGGCAAGAATGTAATGGGGAAAAGTGTCCGGTCCTCATCTACTTTCCCTATTTCACCCGCCAAGTATCCTTGTGCTTTTATTATACCCACTCTTTCCCACAAGAACCCCAATACAGCTCTAGTTCCAAAGCCAATATATCCCGACACTCTTACAAGTCCATTAAGTGAAGGAAGAGGGAGAGGGTTGAACGGTAATAGAGTGGATTATACATCTCCTTCCATGTTTTGAACGCCTAAGGAAACCACTAGAAACCCCCTCCTCACCTCCCTCTACCGTCACCATCTATTCTCACCCCCTCGGGAGGTCGCCAGCGGCAGTAGGGGAGAACTGCAAGCTGTGGGGTTAGTTAAAAGGGCATTAGTTACTTAAGGTAAGATCTTGTTCCTCTACGTCGATTTGTTTAAGTTGATGGAGGGGAAAGAGGTAGCTGGTTGGCGGTAATAGCAAGGGTACGGGACTGGGTTTTCAGCAAGTCTTGTGGCGGTAAGAGGATGATGATAATTAATCAAGGGAACAGGGGAGGATGCTGCCTTAGGTTGAAATCCTGAATGTGTATATGTATATATATTCCTACATGCATAAGAGGGTTGGTGATGAACTTTAGTTCTTCTGTAGAGAGAGAGGGGTAAATGAATTTAGCTAGATAATTAAGTTATCAAGGGTTAAAGTGTTTATAGTGGGTATGGGATAATTAGGCCCGGGTCTGCATGTGCTAAAGTGGTTCCAAAAATTATTGTGCATGAGGATATATATATGTCTTTATGCATAGGTGATGATGGCAATGATTATTTATTTATGGGAAAGGTTTTGTGGTGGTGGTGTTTATCCTGGAAACGGAAGCAATTTGAGTAGGCTATGCGTGAGGTGGAAGTAGGTTATTTAAATAGAATGTTAGCGTCGGGTTTAGTAACATGTACGAGTAGAGTTCTAAATATAAATAAAACAGAAAACAAAACCATTACATTACATTGTTATTTTAAATTATACGATTAGTAGTTAATTGGTTGTCTACGGTTAATGGGTGATTGATATTGAATCAAATGTGGTTTTGTAACTTCTTAAAGGTGACAACGAGCAGGCCAGAGCTGCAAGGAAGGGCAAGGGTATAGCGGAATAGAAAATGTGTTGTGAGTAAACTCTAACCTATTAACCGTATGGATACAAATATGGTATTCGGGTCATGAAGCGGCCTGAATATAGAATATGAAATGTGGAATTAATCGATGGCGATGACTATATGTGTGTGAATGAAATGATATGTGATAAATGATGGGTGGATGTGATGTTCGTATGACTATTTGATGATATGTGTGATGTGTATGTGATATGAAATTGCCTAAAAGGGATATATTACAATACAGAGAAGACTATGAGGCAGTGATGGAATAATGAATGGCCTGAATGACTATACGAGGATACTGGGATAGCCTAATTGGCTATCGTGTGATTACTGGAAAGCCTATAAGGTGGAAATGTGAGATTGAAGCCTATAAGGTGACGATGTGATTATATAAATGGTGAATGTGACTATGTGAATGTTATGAATATGTGAATAGACACGTGTGAAATGATTGATGATACTGTTTGATACTTGTTATGTGACTAACTAAAGAATTGTCTGATCACCTAAATCAAACTTAATGGCGCCATGTCATGCACTCTATGAGATTCGATAATGCGGCTTTATGCCTAGCTCTCTGGGAGAGCGATACCAGGCCTGGTCATTGGCGATGCTTAATGCATCTATTGGCGGTGCTTTATGCATCTATTGGCGGTGCTTTATGCATCTATTGGCGGTGCTTAATGCATCTATTGGCGGTGCTTTATGCATCTACTGGATATACCCGGGAGAGTGCATGACTTGGCAATTTAAAGGCAAAAAGATACGTAATCTGGCTAACCCTATGTGTGTGTATGAATGGGTGTACTAGTGTGTGTGTGTGATTGACTATTGAATTGTGCATGGTTACCTGTATGGTATACCCTGAGCAATGTAAATACTGAAATTGGTTATCTCGGGAAACTAAGAGATTAAGCATAGGGTTTGACTTCACCAGATATTATATTTGCATTGATACTGTTGATAGGTTAGCTTTTACTCATTGAGGTGACGTCTCATCCCCGTCAAAAATTTTCCCCAGATTAGAAGTTTTGGACTAGAAGTCAAGAAAACTCGGCAAGGCTCAGTTCGGCATCAATGAGGTGGGATGGTGGACTCAGACTCCGACATGACTTGTTTATAGTATTTTGAGAGAAGATGGTCTTCTCTACTGTCATGTGTTTAGAAGTTTTAAATGTTTATGTAAATTATGGTTTGGTTTGTAAGCTAAACAAAATTGTGAAAGGTTTTAATCGGTACGATCATGTGAATGTTTTAAAGAATGCATGGGTGTTACACGCAGGATAGCACGGTGGCAGGAAATTGGTAGAGATAGCAAGGCTTCGACAATAGTTACGATCGTTTGACATTTTCTTTGTTGGAAGGATTAGCAATCAGGTAGCCCATGTAGTGGCTAGGAAGTCTCTTTCTTTGTTGCCTGCGAGTGTTGATAGTTTTGATTTTCTTCAGTGGTTTATTTTTAAGATGTAGACTCTATTATATTTCTTCTTGAGCTATTGTTGAAAGAAAAAAAAATGCTTTTGTTTTTATATTTTATATGGTTGATATAGATTTATCCTTTGTAGTCTAGTTGTTTATAAACTTATGATACTTTTTCTTTACTTTGAGTGACATGAGTTCAAATATCAATAATCAATATTTTAATATATAAACAAATGAGGTACAATTACTAAATGCAGTTTTCTGAAATCGCTACCAGTACATGAAATTTAAAATGAGGGTTGCAGTTTTCTCATTCAGTTTTAGAGCAATGGGTTATGTTTAATTAAAAGAATGACAACAAATACGATCTAGTCAAGTTGGTTAAGTGTTCCTTCTTTATCTGAGTGATACGGGTCCTTCCTAGAATCGCTTCCAGACCACAAAAATTTGAAATGGAGGTGGCAACAGACGAGATGTAAATTCTTATTTATAATTGTTTTTTTTATTTTTTTTATTTTATGATAAAAAATGAGTTGGACATTAAAATAGATTAAATTTTATTTTATTTTATTAATTATTTATTAATTACCACGTCACTAAGTTAACGGTCAACTTTGAGAGTTGACTGCCACATCAGCCAAACTTAACGGAGTTGGACGGAGAGTGACCAAACGTGAACGGTTTCAGTAAACTAAGGTACCACCAATGGTTTTAAATATTTCGAGTGACCACATTTGAACGTTTTTTGTAATCTCAGTGACCAACCATGCAATTAACCCAATTTCTTATTAAGGATAAACATGTTATTTAATATAAAATTGAATTTTTTTTTAATGTTAGCAATCATAGTTACCAAACAATAAACATTTTAAAATCTATTTTCAAGAATCCGAGGAGTTAGAATCTTTAGATTGTTGACAATCTATAGATTTAAACTCATATTCTCCAAACGAATGCTAAATCTGCAATGATATTGATTTTTTGTGAAATGGTATAGATTTATATTGGTAGATTGTTTATATTGGTAGTTTTCGTGTAATGGTATAGATTTATTTTTGCAATGGTATTGATATTTTTCAAAGTGGTAGTGGTTGTCTAATGGATTGGTAGTGATTTCGTGTTTCTTTTCTTTTGCAGAAAGATTGAGAAAAATAAGAAAATGAGATCTGGCTAGAGATTATGGAAGTGAGAGAAAGAGAGAGAATTGCAATCAATAGATTCTTGTAACTACTTAAAATATAATTGATTAAAAAATTAATTAATACAATTTATTTTTCATACCCAATTTATCCTTAGTAACCACGATGATTACTACTTTTGTAGTAATCACTGTAACCGGTCCCTGTATATAATTTACGTATGTAGGTTAATTGTGTTTGTCAAATTCTTGATGTAATTAAGAAATTTCTTAAAGATTAGCAGGGCAACAATCAGAATGTGGTGTGTTTGATAACAATGTGATTCATATTAAAAAAAATTATACGAATGAATAGAGTTGTATGATACTCAATGAAAAAGTTGTGGTAATAAAGTATCAAAAACAAAATGAAGTAACTAAACAGGTTTTCATTTTTCAGAATTCAGTTTCAGAACTCACCAAAATTTTCAACAAATAAATTTTCTGCAGGTTTTGTTTCACAGAAACAAGTAGCTTTGTTTTCATTTTTTGCTGTTTTCTGTGGCCGTTATAGAAAACAGAATCGCAAGTGAACAACACATTAGCTTCGTTTTGAGTTTTAACAACATTGATTTTATCTTCAACCACGGAGAAGCAGCTCATTTCCAGAGTGACTTGTCGGCTCTCGGCTCCGAGGTCAGAATCAGATTGCTGTCATGGCGGAGAAGCCTACGAATGGTACCAACAACTCTTTCTCGTCAATTTTTCCCCAAGACAGCAGTTCGGAGTGCACGTCTCCGGTGCCTCTTTACAGTTTACCCCTTCCGCCGGAAGAATTAGTTAGTGATATGGGTCATGTTATGCAGAGACTATCCTCCAGCTGCTGAAACATGGAGCTGCTCACTTCGAGCTCGTTCCCTCACCAGTCCCCTCGATTTCAGCTACCCCGCCTCAAATGCGTTCCGTCCCCTTCTTCGCCAACAATAGCCATCGGTTCTTCGCTCGAATTGGACCAGCACTGTGAGTTCCTTTGCCTTTTTGGAGATTTCTTATTCGATTCTTTCACAGGCTGAAACTCCGTTGCCGGTGTTACTGTTTTCTCTTCCAGAGATAGGGCACCCCCCGAGACGAAGAAGAAGTTGGAGCAATATTCAGTTCAGAAAGTCACCGGAGATGGCCGCTGTCTATTCCGTGCGTTGGTATCTTATTTCCTCTTCTCTAGCTCATTCCTCGACTTGATTTCCAAATCCATCGTCTTTGAAACCAAGGCTTGAACATAGGATTGTGGCTGTTAATTCAGAAACCTTAATCAATTGCTGAATGCATTGCTGCGTTTGTCAAAGAAGTGGCAACAGACGCTAGTGCCGAAAGTCTAGAAAACACATTGTAGGAGCTTCTGCTCATTTTTCTCAAGAGGTTCACTAACCTAATGCTGGAGCGGACCTCGGAGCCTTATTCAGTAGTAGATTAAGGTTATGAACTTGATACTGTTGTCACCTGCGCTACGGTTAATATGTGTTTGAATTTCAGTCTTGCAGCTAGTTGCATAATTGATAGCAAACTAGAGAAGAGAATGGTAATTATTAGCCAGTAGATACTAGATGGTGCTAATCTTGTGTTTAGTTATAGTATTAGGTGTGTCATGTGTTTGGTGAAGCACTAGAGACCTTGTCTTTCTAACTCAATGTAACTTATGTTGTCGGATGCATAGGTGTTGCCCTCTTCTCTCATAAGTTGACTATATGACATTACTGTTGTTCGTCGCATGATCTTAGTCATGATTGATCAAACCAGGTAAAAGGAATGGCTTTGAACAAGGGTATTCCGCTTAAGCCACGGGAAGAGAGAGATGATGCAGGTATGTTTGAGCAGTTGGAAATTTATAAGTTTCTTGTTTCATGGATCTTTGTTGATACATTTGCATCACTTGTGCTTTGCCTTCATGTAATTTGCCAAAAAAGTGGATATCTCCATTTCCACCCAAATTAATATCGGCTTCCTCTTTTGGCTGCAGTGGTACCTTTATTGTTTGCGTGTTCTTGCAGAACAACATTCTCTTCGTTCATTAGTCATTACTCATTACTGTCTAGATGTGATTCTCTTGTATGTTTACTTTTCTTAGTAGTGATTGAAAAGCGAAAATCTTTCCTGATTTTGATCATGAAGCTCTCTGGAAATGGATATCTATCTCAGAATATGTTTCTTTCAGATGACTTGAGAATGGCTGTTAAGGAGATTATTTGCCAAAGTGGTAATGAACGCCAACAGTACGAAGAAGCATTGATTGCAATAACAGTTGATGAACCATTGAAGCGGTCGGTCTTCTTTCTAATCAAATTTCTGTTCGCCGTTTTTCTATTAGGTCTTGCAGTGTACTACCCTATGGTCCCTTCCAATGACAGCATGATTAACACCTTTTTTTTGTTGACGTTTCCAGTTATTGTCAAAGAATAGGACGTCCCGACTTCTGGGGTGGGGAGTCGGAGCTTCTGGTCAGTACTGTTTTTTGTCTGCTCTTCTAGGGAGTTAACTGCATTTGTCTAGTTAACTTTTCATGAAATTATTAAGTTCATCCATTACGAATTGCGATTGGTATGGGCACAAGCATCTATATGTCTGTTGTTATTTATGGTTGCCTCCTAGAATTCCTTGCATGCACATACTGAATCGCTATACTGTGACAACTGTTTGTGTGCAGGTACTCTCAAAATTGTGTAGACAACCAGTCATAGTTTACATTCCAGAGCACGAGGTAAGATGTCTGGATGTTGCCCTACATCCAGCTTGATTCTGGTTAACCACAAACATTTTCTTGGAATGGTGAAATCGAATGTCCTTCCGCCTTGGTACCAATTTTTCCTGTTTCTAGACAGAACTATGTGAAATAGGTGCTGTGACTGGCTGGTCTGTTCTCCTGTTTTCTTGGCATTTAGTTTGTCCGTGGACAATGTAGAACCTGTGTTCAATATCTCACTGTATATGGATTATGTGTCGAATATGAATGCAGCATGTGAGAGGCGGATGGGGCTCGGGATTTATCCCAATAGCTGAATATGGAGGCGAGTTCAGCAAGGGCTCCTTCATGGGCAAGCCGAAGAAAGCTGTGAGGCTTCTTTACAGTGGCAACAATCATTATGATCTACTCGTCTAGAGTTCCATTTCCTGTTCCCAGGAAGACTACGTTGTATGCTCAAATGTCTCCCAAAAGAAGAGGTAGATCAGAATTTCGTTCATGGAGGCTACAATGACACAGTGCTGCCCCTCGTTCTGGAGCTTGTTCCAGACAAGTTTCTCAATCTCCAGATTATCCAATTAACGTGTTAGATTTGCCTATGGTTTTGTGCAACGGTTGATGAATATAAACCTGAACTTAAGATTCCATTGTACAATTTAATAAATTTGGAGTCATGGTTCAAAATGGAAGAAAGGGGGGAAGTTTGATACATTACAGAGCAAAATATAGATAGCTCACTCGTTTAGTTGCTGCAAAAAATTAAAAGGAAAATTCCGTTGCCGGGACTTGAACCCGGGTCTTTCGGGTGAGAGCCGAATATCCTGACCAACTAGACTACAACGGATTTTTGATAACATATCAATACAGACATATTTATACAATACCTACGTTTTAAGATAGCTTTTCAATTGTACAATCTGAAAAGTTGGATGGATAATTTATGAAATAATTTTTAAGTTGGATGGATAATTTATGAAATAATTTTTAGAAACTTAAACGTAATGGATGGTGGATGGTCTGCTTTTTAATTTTTTTTTGGGTATATGAGAAATAATGAATATGAATAAATTATTAGAAATAGTTTCTATTTCAAAGAGTTAGAAATTTAGAAGACGAAATATAATGGAATTTACTAATTGAAGTTACCCTTCAATGAAATATATAGGTATTTGTTGAGAGTGAATTTATATAGGTATTTGAAATGGTAGGGTTTGGGTAAGTTTTTTTTTTTTTTTTTTTTTTTTTTTTTTTTTTTATAACTTTTGAGATCAGTACACAATTGTTTTATGTCTTGAAACAAGCAGCCCTTTTCCCGTTGTTAGATCTGCGAAATGAAGAAGAGATATAAGCGGCCAAAACCAAACAGCAAAAGCACAGCAGTCCTCTACTCCTCTCTCTCTCTCTTTCTCTCTCTCTCGCCCTTTCTCCATCGCGGGCTCTGCTGCTCCTCCTCCTCCTCCTTCAAGACACTCCCAAGCTTCCCGGTCGCCGACCCTTTTACCGTCCTTTCGCCTTCAGTGTTTCTCTTCCATATCATGAGGATTCGGAAGAACGCAAGCCACATGTCGGGACCAGCAGCAGCAGCAGCGATGCCGCCTGAAACCACCGCCCACGTCATCTGCCAGCTAAATCAGTCGCCGTGGGATCTGATTCCCTCCTCCTCCTCTTACTACTCCGCCGCCGCCGCTCATCCCGACAGTTTCCCCTCTCCCTCCTACTTCCTGCTAAACCGCCAGGTACAGTGTTACCAATTCCTCCCTCTCCCATTTCCCTCCCGAATACGAGCTAGGGTTTTTTCTTAGGGTTCGGCCCAGAAATTTCGTTCAACGCTGTCGTCGATTCTTGCTTGGTAGTGAATGATTAGGTTAGTGCGTGCCCCTCATTTCTGCTGCCGCTAGTTTCTGGGCCTTTCCTCCCCCTATTTATTATTATTATGCCTGCATATCGCCCATTATCGTAAACATTTTTACTTCAGTTCCAAGCTGGGGAAGGTAGCAACATCACCGGCAATGGTAGCTTAGACGGCTCCGTCGGCGGTGGCGAGAGGTAATTCCTCTAATTAATTCCAGTCTCTTCCCATTCCTATTGTTTCGCATTCCCACATCTGCATATATTAGGGTTTCTGGATATATAGTAAAATTCCTCGACAGTTTGTGTCGGCCTTCCCCATTTCGATAACTACCTGCCTAGCTAGTCGATGCGAAGGAATATATGTTGATCTTAAAAGGTTATTATTCAATACGATTCTTCAGCGTGGCGTCGATGATGGAGGACGACACGGATGGCGGAGACCAGAAGGCTGAGGATGGGGAGGAATCGACGGAAGCGGATGTTTTCAACTATCACGATAATGTTAATGGCAATAATGGCGCCGCCAGTAGGTGGACGACGAGGAGAGGGGGGAGGGTAGTGAGTGCTAGCCACGGGAAGACGGCTGCGAACAATACGACGTCGTCGGGGCGTCGAGGAGGGAGGGCAAAAGCGGCAAAGAAAGGGGCGGCGGCGGCGGCATCGATGAGCTCCGACCCCAACGAATTTTACTATTATTCTGGATTCGGACCGCTGTGGGGAAAACGGAGAGGAGGCCACCGCGCTGGCGCTGGCGCTGGCGGCGGCGATGAGGCTAACAATAATAATATTAGTTATGCTAGCAGCGGGGGTACTGGTCCGGCTGCGGGCCCAAGTCGTGCGAATTCGTCTTCGCCGCCGTTAGCTGCGTTCGATTTTATTGACGAGGACTACGACTTTGACGAGGAGGAGGAGGAGGACCTGGATGGGGCGGCGGGCGGCGATTTCATCAGCAAGAAGCGGATGCGGAAACCGGTGAAAGCCAGATCCCTCAAGTCGCTGATGTGAATGTGCGGTGGCTGAATCGGGGAGATAGCTAGGGAAGCGCACTGCCGTTAGCTCGGCGGCGGCGGGCAAGGTGTTCCTTCTCGTCTCCTTGGTTGATATTATCGGTGGGGGTTTCTCTTTTCGCCTTTCTTTTTATTTTAATTTCGATTATTATTATCGTTTGAGCTTTATTCTGTTTTTGAATTTTTAGGGTTTATTTATGAGGGGAGAGCAGTGTGTTGTCGTGTTGTTGAGATGGGGCAAGTGGAGGAGTTGTAGCCTTGTAGGGTGCGATCCTCGTTGGGATACCGTAGACTTTCTTTGTGAGTGACAACTTAAATCTATCATTTGGGGAAAATCTCGCCTTATCTAAGCTAGTTTAGAGCTGAGATTTTTTACCAGATGGATTGTTGTAATATAGAGATTGGAGATTAGGTGTTGTTTGTATGTGTAATTTTAACTGCAGGAAAGACTTTTTAAATTAAAGCAATGTGTCAATGGAGGTCGGCACGATTGTGGTTAACCACAATACAAACGCAATTACTGGATAACCACAATACAAAAGAAATTGCTGAATATGCTAACCACAAACCAAATCGCAGTAGTTTGTGGTTAATCACTACGATTTTATGCGGTTCGGTTATGGTTAACCACAAAAACCAACTTATCAAAATCATAAATTCATCAATATAATTATTTTATAAATTTGTAAAATTTTACTAGTAGACAAAAGAAAAGAAAATAGAAAAATACAAATGAGAACAGTAACGACTGTAACGTTAACAAAAGGTGAGATCCACGTGTGACGAATTGAGAAAATATCAAACAAAAAATGGACAAAAGAAGAAAATATAGCAGCTAAAAGTAAGATATAAAACCAAAAGTAACAAACAAACCCCATCAAGAAAATCAAGAACAACATAAGAGAACATGTAAATTCTATTTAGAAGGTATAACACATTAGCAACAATTCAACATCATCCCTATTCATAAAGAAGTCAGCAATTCAACAATTAATACAAAGTATAAGTCCTCCATAACTAATTCGACAATACAAAAAATATATTAGTAAAGTACTAACTATTATTAATTTGAGAAGTTCACAAAAATTGATAACTATATTTATTAATATTACTATTATCTACTAAACTGTAAAAAAAAAAACTTCAATAAGTAAGTGTGGTTTATATGGTTATTGTGGTTTAACCATAATGGTTAACCACTATCCATAAAATTTATAATTTTACTAAACATAACAAAACCGCTAACCACAAAGTACGGTTAATGGTTGACCAAACTACGTGTGATTCGGTACAGTTGTGGTTAAATCGCAAACCACAAATCAAACTTCTACCCCTAAGTCAAGATAATGCTACAACAATGATGTTTCTTCGTCATCACCTCCACGAGGGATTGAAGAATGAGTATTGATTTGTTGTAGACCATAACCCAAATTTACCTGACCCTAAGTCCATTATTGTATTTCCCTAAGGTCTCTCACATAATCCTTACTTCGGAAGCGAGGTATGCTTCTATTGAAGAAGAGAGCGATTTAGGAGGTTGAGCTACCTCCGGTTTTACAGAACGTAAGAGTTCGAGAGTACGAGGTGTAGAAAATAAATTTATGCTACTAGACGAGTGAGAAATCAGAGAAAGAAGGCGTTGTATAGACAAGTTCCCCTAACCATGTATCCTTGTCACGATCGAGGTCATGTCTTGTCAGCCTTAAGAGAATCTGCGTACCACACTCAAGAAGTGGTGTAGCCAGACTTTGAGTTCACTAGGGTCCTTAAAATTTTACTAACACTAAAGTCTGTGTATCTACTAAATTTTGAGTAGATTGGGGTCCTTGGTAAGCTAACATCGTCGAGGATATGGGGTCCTAAACTTAAAAGATCGTACTAAACCCGATGTATCTAAAAAATTTTGTTGTTCAATTTTTGCCAAGTGGGGTCCTAGGACCCCTCTCCTCCTCACCTCCTTCCGACACTGCACTCAAGGGCACAATCTCCCAATTTGTATGTGTCACGTCTTACAACCTGGCGCGCATATTGTTGATGAACAGTGGTATATGTTCGAATGACGTAGGAGAGTAAACATGCCAATATACCCGGCTAGGCGAACTCGCATAAGCGCGTTTTCTACAGCTGTGGATCACAACTTAATATTTAGGAAAATACAAGTTTCCATCTTATTTGGTAGATCCCACCTTGCGTCGAAGTATTTACCCAAACTAATGGGAGATAAGGACCCTTCGGATTTTTCCCTTGAGGCGTCATGCAGTTCGATTGAATGACATTCAATCGAGTAGGACTGCTATCTCTAGTCTCATACTAAGCGACTTGGATTTTGATCCTTGCACATCGAAGGAGTGCAAGATTGGAGAAGAAAGGTGTTGCATAAGCAAGTTCCCCCTAGGTTTCCTAACCATGTATCCTTGTCACGATCCAGGTCATGTCTTGTCGGTTTTAAGAGAATCCACTTACTGCGCACTCAAGGCCACAATCTCCCTTGTACGTGTCATGTCATAACCTGGCACACTTATTTTTCTTGAACATCGATATACGTTATAACGATGTAGCCAAGTAAACATGCCAACATACTCGGCTAGGCAAACTCGCATATTTGGCAACATGTGAGCTGCCGATTTCTTATTTTGTTAGATTCCACCTTGTGTCGAAGCATTTAGCCGAACTAATTGGTGACAAGGACACTTTGAATTTCTCCCTTGAGGCGTCACGCCGTTCAATGGAATGACGCTCGATCGAGTAGTACTGTTATTTCTAGTCTCATTCGAGTAGTAGGATTGCAATCCTGTCCCTCAAAGGAGTGCAAGGTCGACTGTGCTCTCATTCTAATAGACAAATAACGAAATAAAGGAAATCAAACATCAAGGCGTATGAAATAAACATGATCGAAATAAACCAAACATCGATTTTACATGGTTAGAACCCCTACCTACGGTATTAAGGAACTTAGCCAACCATGAGGAGGGGTTCCGTGGTGTTCATCAATTGAAATAAAGACCCCAGAAATGGCCACAGAAATGGCACCATCGATAGAGAAAATGGGCCCAAGGCCGTTGTTTCTCCCTAGGAGGTTGGTCTCGTTCTAATCAGGAGGGTTGCTATGTCTGCATAACAAAATTGATCCACCTTGACCTCTTATCTCTTTCTCATGTTTTCTATCTCTAGAAATTTATAGGCCTTTGATTAGGCTTTCTTAGAAGAAAATCGTAGCTCTAGCGTCACCCAGCCAATCAGAAGCCTCTAAAGATTTGGCCAGCGAATCAGGATGCTTTAGGATGACTTTCTAACGATGTAGTTGATCTCCACAAAACGGCGGCTAGGGCGTTGTTTCACACCTTGGGGCGCCATTTTTGGCATTGTTTCTTTAAGTCGTCCTCTCTTCCAATCTAGTCTCCAGCAACGAGATCTCAATGTCACCTACGGCAGTCAAGCGGTCCACTAGTATGCTTTGATGTTACGAGACACATAATTGAAGAATTCTTGACTTGTAACCTCCTTGCGACAAAACTACAAACTACGATAAAACGCGATAAACGAAAGACAATAAACTAGATTTGGGTTCCAATCTTCTTCATACCATTAAACGAATGAGACATTACATATTTATAGGCACAGAATCCTCTCCTTCTTCCTTATGGTTTCGGTCCACTTTTCCCTATTCCTACCCATAATACGTAACCTTCTCCTACAAGGACACCACAACCAAATCCTAAACAAATACCAAAAGACAACACAAATCCTACTAAGACTAGGAAACAATAATAATAATAATAATAATAATATCCCAATTAACAACTAAACACTTAATAATTAATAAACTACTAAAATAGATGAGCTCAGAAAATGCCCAAATTATTACGATAGCTCGTCTCGTAACAATCCTCCCCCCTTAAGCGCAACCTTGCCCTCAAGGTTGGTCATCCTCGTAGATGAAGCGACCATCTTCCCCCTCCTTGCACGGTCCCACCATGAGAAGCACATTAAGGTTGGCACAACGATGTCCTATGGTGAAGCGCTCATCGCAGTGGAAACATAACCCTTGCGCTCTTCGTCGGTTAACCTCCTCTGGTGACATCCTTCGACTGGTGAGATTACGGGGTAGTGGCGCGGTCCGCGGCGGAAGTGGTGCGGAATCAGTTCGCGACTCGACCTGTGCACGCGGCAGACTTCTGGTCCCCCCTCGCTGCTTGGACAACTCTTCGTTCTTCACTTTGGCTAGCGAATGGCTTCGCGCACCATTTCTGGTTTAAACATCCGAATAGCGTCAAAAATCTCTGACTTGAGCCCACCAATAAATGACCCCACCAAAGCTTCTTCGGTCCAGCCATAGCAACGATTCCCCAGCTTCTCAAATGTTAGGAGATAGTCATTCAAGGAGTCGGTTTGTTTTATTTTTGCGAGGGCCTCGTGACATGAAGGCCCATTAGATGGCCCAAATCGAGCCCATAGTTCCTCCAGGAATCGTGGCCAAGTCATGGGCAACCCAGAGGTTATGTAGGTACGATCTAGCCATTGCCACCACTAGTTTGCGTCTCCTTCCAGATGAAACGATGCTAATGGTACCTTATGATCTTCTGGCGTCTCTTGGAACTTAAAGAATTGCTCTATCCGTGCGAACCAGCCTGACGGATCTTCCCCACCATTATACCTTGGGAACTCGAGTTGTGCGGTTTTAGGTCGGAAGAGGCTGACCTGATCATCAATCCGGTTCATTCCGCCGCCCAAGTCAACCCAACCTCCCGGGCTAACCACTCCTCCGCCCATTCCCTGTGCACCTATGCTGCTGCCCGACCCGCTTCCCATACCGGGCCCTCCTGTCGAGTCGTAGTTCGGCTTAAATCCCGGCCCTGTATTGAAATTCATATGAGGTCCACCCGACGGGCCATAATTGCTGGACCCAGTCGGCCGATATGCCTCGCCTTGGCCTGCTCCACTCGGACTGCCCCGTCCTCCTCCTGGCCACGCGGCCCCGCCATGCCAGCCCGTGCGCCAGCCTAGAGGTTCCGGACCCGGAGTCCATGGCACGCACGGTCGCGGCCTGATTCCTTCCATTGCCATATTCGACCCACGCCTCCTCCTGCGTAGATGGACCCGCTTGCATTGGGTTAATGGGGCAAGCCCCTTCCTGTCAATGGGGGCACCGCCCCACTACCAACCCCCGGTAAAACTCCCTTGCCTGCTCGACCCGAGCTGCCGCTGCCACCAGTGGACGTCATCGCCAGCGCTCCCCATTCCTGCCCGCTCGCCACGGTGGCTGGTATCATCCCGAGCCCCGGTCGATTGGCACCCATATTCCCTCTGCCACCTCCATGAATATCGCCCACATCAAGCGTTGTTTCGTCGACCATGACCATACCCTGCGGAACGGAATCTTGCTCCTCTTCCTCAACCTGTACCCCTTCAAGTTTCTCGCCAGCCTTCGCTCGATGCAGA